ATATATATATGTATGTATATGTACATATATATATGTATGTATATGTACATATATATATGTATGTATATGTATGTATATATATGTATGTATATGTATGTATATGTATATGTATATATATATATGTATATGTACATGTATATATATGTATATATATGTATATGTATATATATATATGTATATGTACGTATATATATATGTATATATATGTATATATATATATGTATGTATATGTATGTGTATGTATATGTATGTGTATGTATGTATATGTATGTATATATATATGTATATAAAAGGGCGGACAGCAGGACCCTGAGGACACTTCCTCGTGCTTTAAACAGCCTCAGCAGCTTATTGGTTAACGTTGATGAAGTCAGAGTGAAGCTGACCTGCTGCCTCACCTGTCTGCATAGAGCAGGTGAGTGTCGACCAATCAGACGGAGACTCAGCTGGGAAATGCAGCCAAACCAGACAGACAGACAGGTAGGGCGGGGGAGGGGGAGGGGAGGGAACTCCTCCAAAGAGAGAGACACACACATACACAGACGTCCAGACGCTCACACATGCTGGTCAGAGCACGCCGTGACATCACTGTGACATCATGAGCTCCCCCAGCGCTCACACAGACAGGTATGTTTAATATTTAACCTTCAGTGTGTGTGTGTGTGTGTGTGTGTGTGTGTGTGTGTGTGTGTTTCCTGTTCCAGCAGAAAGAGGAAGTTTACTTTCTGTTGGTGGTCTTTCCTAACTGTCAGTGAAGGGGTCGCTGTGGTGCGTTCGCTGTTTCTTTGAGTCTGTTTCTGGTCAGCAGGAAGTGATGTCAGCATTCTTCCTGTGTGCTGTGACTGCTCAGGTGTTCCTCTGGTCCTGGATCAGAGCCTCCTCAGTGACGACCTGATGCTGTTCACAGTGTGAAGCTGAACAGATTTGATTGATCTGATTCTTTTTTTTAAACATTACAAACTGGACCCAGCTCTGTCCAATACAGTTTCCTCCTCCCACTGAAGTCCTCCACGTAGTTAACGGTTCATCTACAGATCTATGGAGCGCATCCACACATACTACTACATGCTAACGTAGCTCCTTGACTAACAACATATAACATCTGAAGATTAGCACAAACATCAAAGAGAGAGAGCGGGTTATTAAATATCAGTTTGATGATCAATGTTGGCCAACACCAACACCTTACTATTTATGTTCCTTAAAAACCTCTTCAAGAAGTCCGAGAACCTCCTAAAGAACCCCTCAGCCCCACATAAGAACCCTGGAACCTCTTCAAGAACTGTGGGACTTCTTCAAGAAGACCTGAAACCTCCTAAAGAACCCTTCAAACACTACTGGAACATTTTCAGGCACCCCTGGAAAAACCCACCTAGAACCCTGAAAATCCCCGAAGGACCCTGGAACCTCTTCAAAAAGTCCTGGAAGCTCCTGAAGAACCCCTCAGCCCCACATAAGAACCCTGGCATTTTATCAAGAACTGTGGAACCTCTTCAAGTACTTATGGAACTATCTGCCTCTCTTAAGACCCTTGGAACCTACTTGAACTTTCCTGGAACCTCTTCAAGAAGACCTGGAACCTCCTCTGGGTCCTGCTGAAGAACCGTCACCTGGACAGGTAAGAACAGAGAGTTGTGGACTTCCAGTCAGTTCCCAATGGAAACCAGTGACCTGAGCGAGCGAGCGAGCGAGCGAGCGAGCGCGCACACGCACGCACACACACACACACCTGGTTACCTGCAGGGTGTGTGTGTGTGTGTGTGTGTGTGTGTGTGTGTGTGTGTGTGTGTGTCAGATAAAGCTGCCCTCTGCTTCAGTAACAACAAACAGAGGGAACAATAGAGCCCGCCCCTCCTCACCACCTGCCCAGGTGTGTCTCCGTGAACAACCTGAATCAGAGCAGTCGGGCAGGTTCGTTCAGTCGCATCTGGTTCAGATTTTTAACGACAAGCTGCTCCCCGGATCCAGACGGCATGCCGAACTGAAGAGCGTCACCTGTGGACAGGTGACAGGTGAGAGTCACCTGACTGCCTCCTTTTGTTCAACAGCAAAACCAGGAAGAAGCTTAAAATGGTAGAAAAGTGAATGGTGTCTGGTTTCAGAGAGAGAACGCAGGGATCCAGAGGTGTGTGTGTGTGTGTGTTGGGGAGGGGTATTCATGGCGTCGTGGGGACACATGTCTTCATAGTCTTGTGAGGACTCTGTTAGTGAGTCTGTTACTGGTTGATTCAGTAACTGAGTACATTTACTCCAGTTCTGTACTTTAGTATAATTTGAGGTATTTTACTGAACATTTTATACATCAAACTTAAGTAATACAATATTCGACATACAGTTTCAGATGAAACTAGTTATATAAAACGTTGTGCATGTTAGTATTTTATATAATAATAATGAATGTCTTGCTGCATCAGAAGTAGTTTTCTTAAATACTTATGTACTTTTACTTAAACACATTCAGAACACTTAATCTTATTATTATTTATTATTATTAATTTACTAGACAGTTTTGAAGTCTGCATGTTAACCTCAGCCAACAGAACTTTAGATTTTCATATTGTTATTTTTGTCCCTTCAGGGCTCCCGTAGGGGCCTCGGGCCCCCCCAACATCCAGGACATGGAGCTGAGGGAGGAGTGGCAGGACGACGGCTTCCCGAGGTCAGACCTCAACCTCAACATTTACTTATTTTATTAAATACTAAAACAAATATACTTTACATATATTTATTATAAAATGTTCTTTAAGTTCTTTTCTTTCTGTGTTTATTGTTGAGTAAATTAAGGGCAAAGTGTCTCGTGATGAAGAGCTGTTTATTAACACAGTTAACACAGTTTATTGTTCTATCAGACACCTGATGTTCATAATGTTAACTTCACTTCTCTACTTTATGGGATTTCTTTGTTTTTAAACAATATATTTAGTTAAATTTCTACAAGAAGAATAATCAACAAACAGGATACTTTACATAAACATAAATACTGCGTTCTGATTGGCTGCAGACATTATTGCCTCATAATGAAAACCTACTAATTACTACATTAAATTAAATTATAAATACATCTGAATGTCTTATTTCCAGCACTGAGTTTAACATAAATACTAATAAAATAATATTTACTGTTTGTTATTAACTTTGAATCTTGTTAGCATAACGTTAGCTTAATGCTACTGTTAATGCTAATCAAGTTAATATAGTGCTAATATTGATTCATATTTACGAGTCATTATAATCAGTCATTTATAACTTATTTGTAAGAAATTAAGCTGGTATTTGTTCATCAATTGTTCAAACTACATTTATTATTATTTAAAATAAAAACCTTCCTGCCAAATATTCAGGATTAATTATTGAGGTTCATGTGAACAGATTGGATCGATTATCTTGTGTATGTTGTTGATGAATAGTAGATCTTTCTATTCTTAGTCCACGTTTACGAGGGGTCATTTATTTTCTTGACATAAGAAAGATTTTATACCTAAATTATTTTTTATAATTTTGACATGAGACAGTTTTCACAGACTGAGGACGAACCAGGAAGCTGACCTTCATGTGCGGAATGTGTAGATTAAACCTTTACTGTTTGGTCCAGGCCTCTCCCAGAGGATTCTGGGAGTCCAGAGGAGGCAGAAAGTCCGTCAGGAGACGAGCAGCATCCAGGTGACCTAAACAGGAAATAAGAAACAGGAAAGGTGAATATTTAAAGTCAAAAGAAGCCTCTTCTCATCACTCCGTCCTCTTGCCCCGCCCCCTCAGCTCCGCCCACCAGCCTCGCCCTATCAGGAACCATTGAGGGCGGGGCTAAGAAGCGCCTCGTGGCTCCGTCACTCAGCCTCACATTGAGCCGAAAAGACTCTCGCGACCCGAGCAACGACGGGTTCTCGGCCGCCGCGCTGTCGGCGACGCCGGAGGAGACGCCGTCACTGGATATCAACCTGGAGGCTCTGGAGACGCCTTCAGGCAGCGAGACGGGCACGCTGCCCGACTTCAACCACGAGCTGGAGTGGGAGGGTGAGACAGGCTGAGAGACAAACAACCTCTGACCTCTCCCTGACCTCTGACCTCTGACCTCTCTCTCTCTCTGAACAGATGACCTCCCCCAGATGGTTGTGAATGGGGGCGTGTCCAGCAGCCCGTTGGATCAGTCCGAGGGTCTGATGGATCTGGACCAGGTGGACACCAGGGGACGCCGCTGGAGGAGGTTCTCCGTCTCTGGACACGAGTTCCACGTCAACATGAGCGTCCTGGAGCCGTACCTGCAGGTCCTGTCACACGGAGGTCAGAGGTCTCACACACACCTGGCGCAGCGTCGGAAATACACGAGGGCAAAGGGCAAAACTGCCCCTAAGAAATATAATTTTGCCCCTGATATCACTAGGAGAGGGGCAACAAATGCCCCCATAATTTCCTCTAATAATAATGATAATTTAATGAACTTGTCAAAAACATCGTAGCCTCTATGACCCGGTCCAGTTGCCATAGAATGGTTTTGATTTTCGCCTTGACTGATGTTGCGTGTGCGTGAAGAACCGAACGTTCTAAACAAATAAATAAATGGAGCGCTTCTTAATCAGACCTGAGACTGTGGTAAAGTCAGCAGACATTCAGATCTCCGCGGTCAACTCAGCAGACACTTACATGTTAGTGCACCTATATGCTGACATTCACCGTAAACGCATTTAAACGGCACAGATCGGGAGCGAGCAAAGGACTTTGAAAGGTAGCGGAAAGATTAACGTGAGACAACATCCGGTTTCTTCAGACGAACATCCGGTTTTCAGAATAAGATGCCAACAAAGTATGAATTATATTCACATTAAGTATAAAACATGCTGCATCTCATGAGTTAAATACACCTAAATTGTGCGTAAAGTGTCTTTATTCTTTGATTTGAGGGTTGCTGGAAATGAATAATACCTGACTGACAGTCAATTAAGATATTTTACTGAGTAAAAACTCTGAACTGAATTTGTACCTTCAAATGGCATCGTTGACTTAATAATTGTTAATAGTTGTTTAAAAAAATGTAATAACAATAAATAACCACAAAGAAATAAGAATAAAATAGAATATGATTGTCTGACTTTTGTTCAAAAAGATCAAAAATCTAAGAAAATGCTTTGAATCTGTAGACTACTGCCTAATAGTCTTATTATTGCCATTTAATGACAATTGCTCGTATACTGTAAGCCTAAATAAGTATATTTATTATTTTGAACAAAGATTAAATGTTATTTCACAAGTTTGAAAAAGTGCCCCCAATTTTTTTTAAATACCCTGGATCTCAGTCAGTGGGGGCAAAAATTGCCCCTTAAAAAATATGTAAATTTCCTACCCTGACCTGGCGTTACAGTCTGTCCATATTTACACCTGTGACCGTAACCGTGACTCCTCCCTCTGCGTCTGATTGGCTGTCAGGTTACTATGGAGACGAGATGAACGCCGTTGTCCTGTTCACCGCCTGCTACCTGCCGGAGAACACGGTGGAGAACTACGACTACGTCATGGACAACCTGTTCAGGTGAGGTAACGCAGGTCACATGTTGACAGCCAGGAGCATTCTGGGTAGTGGAGTAGCCTCATATGTGTGTGTGTGTTCCTGCAGGTACATCGTGGGGACCCTGGACCTGATGGTGTCAGAGAACTACCTGCTGGTCTGTCTGTGCGCCATGGTTCCCAAAAACAAGCTGCCCTCCATGAAATGGCTCCACCAGTGCTACGCCTCTATCGACAGGAGGTACGTTGGTTTCACCCACTGTGGCAGCACAGTGGGGTGGAGCTAAACACTCACACAGACTTCTTTTTACTTATCCTTTAAATGTCAGAGAGCACACCTGGTTTCTATGATGACGGAGGTGGTATTTAAGTCTGTCTGTCTGTCTGTCTGTGTGTCCAGGCTGAAGAAGGACCTGAAGGGGCTGCTGGTCGTCCATCCTGCCTGGTACATTAAAGCTCTGCTCACTGTGATCAAACCCTTCATCAGGTCTGTACACACCCGATAACCAATCAATAACATCAATCAATAACATCAATAGCATCAATAACATCAACATCAATCAATAACATCAACATCAATCAATAACATCAACATCAATCAATAACATCAACATCAATCAATAACATCAACATCAATTAATAACATCAATCATCAACATCAATTAATAACATCAATCATCAACATCAATCAATAACATCAATCATCAACATCAATCAATAACATAAACATCAATCAATAGCATCAATCAATAGCATCAATCAATAGCATCAATCAATAGCATCCATCAATCAATAGCATCAATCAATAGCATCCATCAATCAATAGCATCCATCAATCAATAGCATCCATCAATAACATCAGCATCCATCAATAACATCAGCATCCATCAATAACATCAGCATCCATCAATAACATCAGCATCCATCAATCGCATCCATCAATCGCATCAATCGACTCCATCAATCGACTCCATCCATCGCATCCATCCATCGACTCCATCCATCGCATCCATCCATCGCATCCATCCATCGCATGCATCAATCGCATCCATCGCATGCATCAATCGCATCCATCGCATGCATCAATGCATCCATCGCATGCATCCATCAATCGCATCCATCAATCGCATCCATCAATCGCATCAATCAACTAGAAAATTTCTACTGCCCGAAGACGTCGCAACATATAGCCACACACGCTGATGTTACCGGTAGTATCGTTGAGGTTGGATTGAGATATCGCTTTTCTCTTTTCTGCATTTTAGACTCATACTCTTGGATTGAATCTTGTATTCATGATGGACAGTCCACAATTGGCTCCCGTCATTTCTGTACTGGACATGTACATCTTTGCTTGAGAAGCCTTTGGATGGCTGCTCAAGCAAAAGCTAACGCTCCCATCATTTCTGTACAAACCTAATTCTGAGCTTCATGTTAAGATAGTTACTCTATGGGGCTTTTATTTTGAAAGGGTGGGACTGGGTGGGGGAGAGAGGGGAAGAGGAGACATATTCATAATGTTTGACACAAACACAGAGGTTATTAAATGACAGGCTTCATCACAAGCATTCCAGTTAGAATTCACTCTCTGGAGCTTTTATTTTGAAATGGGAGGGGGGGTTCTCTAAATATATCTAAAACCTGAATCCTGACTGTATGATAGAGAGAGAGAGAGAGCGAGAGAGAGAGACATAAAGACAGACAGAGTGATGAGTGAGAGACAGACAGACAGAGAGGAGGTTTAACAATGCCTTTGACTGAATATCTCCAACTCATGTGTGTGTGTGTGTGTGTGGAGAGAGAGAGAGAGAGAGAGAGAGAGAGAGAGAGAGAGAGAGAGAG